TTGTTTGTGCAGGTTATGTTCATTTGGCATTTTGCTTCTCTTGGTATAACTTGCTCATGAAGGAGCATATGGCATACGTTATGTTTGACACACTTTAGGAAATGTTTGGTGATGTATCATGCGTGGGAAAATGGTAAGGAGAGGTGTTTTGGTGACAAAATTTAAATGGTGTACAAAAATAGAAACATGGCATGGCTAGTAACAAATTGATAGGTGAGGTTTTGAGTTCATGGGAAAGTATGAAGATCAAGGAACATTTATCATGTTGAAAACAAATTAAGGTGAGGTTTGGAAGGTTATGAAAATTTGCATTGAAGTTGATCACAAAAATCTGCGTAAAGTAACTTAGAAAAAATTCTAAGTTATGAATTTTTGGCAACTTTGACACCCTATCTTTGAAAGCACATAACTTGAAGAGTTTTGATCCAATGAAAGGTTTCTCGTAATGGATAGAAAGCTTGAAGAATTATCTTAAACTTTGATGTTTGAAGGATGATGAGATGGAGTTAGGATCTTGGTGAAAAATTCCTTGGAAGATTGGTCCAAAAATCTGCCTAGAAACTTGACAAACTTGACATCTTTGAAACCCTAACTTGGAGACATCATAACTTGAGTTCTACACATCCAATGGAAGAGTTATAGTACTCAAAAGAAAGCTTAGAGGATACTCTACAACTTTCACGCTGGAGGGAAACTCATTTTAAGATTTTATCACCATGTAAGATAGGCTTGAAAGTAGGTACTTCAAGCTGAATTTCTATACATAGAAAATTTTCTAAGTGTTGAAATGACAAAATTTTGATTTTCTCAACTTTAGCTCATCATATCTCCCAAACTATGGATCTTTTAGATTTGCTTCCTTCCATAAGTTTATATTTCATGATGTCCTCTTTAATTTTATAACAAGTTTGCTTCCATTGGATTAAGGATGAAAAAGTTATGGAAGTTGCAAAATGACTATAATTTAGGGTTTTCCGCACTTAGAAAAATTTCACTAAAACCCTAATTCAACCGATCTCCTGATTTTATGTTTCCTCTTGATTTTTATTGTTCCAAACACATGAAATCTCTTGAAAACACATAGCATACCCTTGGTTGACCTTGATATCCAAGATTTTTACCCCATTGAACCGCAATTGACTTTTGTTGACCAAATGAAATCCTAGGATCATTTCCACTGATTGAAGCTCTTGTGATGGCTTGTGATGACACATAATCCATGTAGGGGACCCTCAAGATGTGTGTTTAACTTTAGAATCATGTCTTGCCCAAGGAAATAGCCACAGATTCCTTTTGAACCAAAACCCTAGTCCAATTATCCATAAGATATAAGGAGGTAAACAATGCTTGAATTCTTGACTCAAATGGCTGTTAGAGTTATATTGATGATGAGGGAATCTTATGACTTGAGATTGCCACAAAGTTGAGCATGAACCCTTTGTTGAGCTTTTGAAGATGAAGCCTTTCCTTTGAGTGTTGAACAAGATACCTTGATTCCTTGTCTAGAACCAATGTTATGCACTAATGCCAATGCAAAATGATATGAAACATAAGGAAAGATATAAGAAAAAGGATGGAAAAATTTTGGGGTGTTACAAAAAGACGAACATCCGAGTCAGATATTACATCACAACAAAGAACTGCTATTGCTGAGTAACTATTTGAGCTATCCATGTGTTCATATTGAAGATTACGAGCTGATGAAGAGTTAACTTTACCTCCTTTGTTTCTATTTTTAAGTAAATCAAAACATGAGGGCTGAGAAAAGGATTCTATAGTGTTCATAAAGTATAACAGCCCAACATCATTAGCTAGCCCCAACACTCTCTTTTTGGGCTTTACCGATTTGTTTCCCTTAGGCCCACATAGCTCTTCCAAGCTTTTCAACTTGACCTTTTTCAAATTCTTTTTAATCCCAGAGCCATTAGACATAGTTCCTCCTTCCAACAACCTAGGAGAAATTGACAGATTACAACTGACAATCAAATTTCCAAGTGCCATTCTGTTGCCCACGTTTATTAAGGAACTTTTCAATGCAGCTACCTCCTTAACCACCTGAATCGCAAAGTCAAAGACAAACATATTTTCCCCATAAACCTCATTAGTTTGCAAAACTAAGGTATCCTTAGGGATGATCCTCTCCAAACAATATTCTTCCCTCACATCAATAGGGTTGAACTCTTCTCTAGCCACAAACTGATTGACACAACGTCTGCCAACCCTATTTTCCTCTACAATCCCATCATGTCTGACTTTGTTCTCTTCCCAACAATGTTTACTCCACGGGCTTTCCAACTCAGACGACGAGTATCGAACGTCTTCTTCCAAATTCTGCTCTTTTGCAGAAATATGGAGATGACCATGATAGTCCTCCGTCATTTTAATGGTAAAAATCTCCCAATTGATCTGCACTTTAAACGTTTCATTTAACACCACTTCACAAGACGTACGAACCACAATTCTAGCCATATCCATGCATTCACCCTTTAAAGTGTTTTCATTAACACAAACATACTTCCCCATTGTTTTAGCTAGGATTTCAAAGAAGGAAAAATTTCAAGCATGTTCCGAAGCACCTCAACCACGTAACACGCTCCTTATCAAGATTGTCCTCCTTCCATCTACGGATCTCTGAAAACCATTGTCGCCACTAAGATTCGGCTTTTCTAATGATATCGTTAATCTCATTTTCCTTGCATTCCTCTAATAAACATAAATTTGCACCCAACAGTGTAACCTTGATCGAAAAATATCCCTCAATATCAAAACTAGTTTGAATGTTATAAGACATTCCAGGATTGATTACTACCCCCACATAAGCCTTCTTGAACCTCATCAACTCTGCCTCCTCAGTTCAAAAATTTAAGTGCACCTTTTCCTCTCTCGAAACAGTCCCTTTGCTTCTACCATTCACCACCTCAACAAATGATATTTTATCCACCTTAGCTCCCCAAGCACCACACACTTTATGCACGATATCCTTCACACCTGCTTTATCCTTCATAAAATACCCCAGAATTTTCCCTACAGTCACAACTTTAGCGATCCTTTGAAAACGAGGAACGTTAACATACAACTTTACTTTATCTATTAAGATATTATCCAGGCAAATAACAAGCAAACGACTATCCTCCACACCTTCAAACCTTGCAAAACCGAAACGTTTCCTTACTCAATTTCTCTTCTGCGAATCACCACTTCTATTAGTTCACCATAACTACCAAACATATCAAAGATGTCCTTAGCCTTCACTTTATCCGGAATCTCTGAGAAATACAACGAGCAAATCTCCTTAGCTTCCCTGTCAAAATGTTTCCTCGCTAGTGGAAAAGAATCCCATCTAGCTTTACCCGATACAAAAGCTCTTCTATGAACACCTTCCTTCCACTTTATATAACTACCATAAACACCTTTCCAGGCTAGAGAGAGATGAGAATTTCTCTCTCTAAAAATTATGACTGTGTCTTTAGATTTGAAAATGGTTTTTGATTGTATGGTATATTAATTTATTTTTCAATCATATTTTTTTTCAAGTTATCGTTTTCCATTGCATATACTTATTTTTTATTCATTTTAATTTTGATTATGATTAGTGATATTTTGTTGTGGCAATTTTTTTGTTTCTAATCTTTCTTCTTTGATGTTTGATTATAATTGAATTAATTGTCATTTAAATTTACATATTTTGTTGTTAAATTTTTTAAAGTGTTGATCTGTATTATAAATCAGAAGGTTTTTTCCAATGGAATAGGTATACACAATTATATATAATGACAATTACAACAATAAATAACTTTCATATCTATTTGCTTGAGTAACTCGCCACTCATTCAACTTATATATATAAAATAAAGCAAATGAAAAAGAGGGATAACATAATAATTCCAATATTTTATCTTTTACTTCTATACGTGTGACCTTGCTATTAAACACATCTTTAACCCTGAGAAAAAAAAGAATAACAATATTAACAATAAAATTTATTGTGAATTATTGAAAATTTGAAACACTAACCATTCAATTTCTTAAATTAGTTGAATTTTATTGTTAATTTTTTATTTATGATTTTTACTTTTTGATGTTAGAGAGACATGCAAAATAAATGTCATATTACTTTAAAATTTAATTTGAAAAATAATTTAACTTTTAACAAATTAAAAAAAAAATATTTTCTTACAAACATGAGAGTACTTAAGTAATTTAAATTGAAATCATAATTAAATAAAAAAATATTCGTTTAAAGTTCAACACATATACTCATTAAAAAAAAAAGTAGATAATCGGATACGAGAGCTTGTTTAGACACTAATCTATACCTGTGTAGTTTTTTTTTCCAAATATACAATTTTTAATTTTTATTTTAAATTTTAACCATTTTTTTAACAAATGCTAATTATGTGATGATTTATTATCTTTTATATTATTATCGACTACTATTATTTAAATAATAAATAATAAAATGAAAATTAATTAAAAATAATAATATAATTTATATTTTACACGTATAAATATTATAAAAAACGCATAAACGGACACTTACTTAATTATAATTTTAGAAAGGATCCGTTTAGATGTTAATTGATTATAATAATCTAACACATCCATAAATCAAAATTATTTTATTGATAAATTTGGATACTATATGTGTTGATACTTATCTTTTTATTGTTCAATGAAATTCAGTTTTCCTTCAATGAAATTTACATTATCTTTCATTTTCATAGGATAATTTTGAATATTTATTCAATTAAAAAATCAAAAGAAAAAGAAAAAACTAATAATAAAATAACTGGTTTTTATTTATTTTTATTGAATTCATTAAAAAAAAAGTGGAATAGGATGAGAAAAACATGTGATTTAAATTGCATTAATTGTTCGGTGTATTTCGAAGCCTAAATAGAAGAACAAGATGATATGCTCAGAGAAGGAGGAGAGCAAGTAAAACCCCCAACTCTCCTTTTTTGTCTTCACTCACTTCACTGTAATCTCATTACAAAAACATGGCAACGACGCAACCACCACCTCCTCCTCCCGTCGCCACCGCCACCGCCTCCGATGTAAACCAAGGTTTTGAATTCTCTTCATTTTATTCTTTTCACGTCTCTTATTATCGATCGCCATAGAATCGCGATTTCTTCGCTAGTCAAATCGTAGCATATTCCGATTCTACTTTTCACTTTGAATAATTCTTTTTGCTTTTTGTTTCTCTCTCTTATGTAATATATTTTCACGATTCGTATCGTCCTTGTTAGTTCTCGCTCGATTAGCTGATAGTTTCGCACATTTATGGTTTCTTATTCAGTTTTTGGAGCTTAATTTTTGTTGAATGTTGACTGCTAATTTTTTATTCGAAATTCTTGTATATGATTAGTGATTACCTCAGTGCTGCACTGCACTTATTTTTTGTTACGCTAATGTTTAACTCTCATTCACTAAAATAACAGTGAGCAACAAATCATTACTCCGGTACTGTATATAAACAAGTTAGCAACACTCCTGAAATATTTAGGTGAAGCTACACCATGACAATCTCATTCTGTTTCTCGGTTTCTCCGATTCTTGGAGTTTCAATTAGACTGTGTTTTGGGATGATTAAACAATTTTGAATTTTGAATTTCCAAACAGCATTTCAGTTTTTAGATAAAATTAATCTCCACAATTTATGGTAACAATTTCCAAACAGACTATAGGAAAAACATCCTCCTTTTTTGGAGTCCATATATAGCTTTATTTTGGAAGGATCACACAACTTGATAATCCAGTAATCTGTTTTCGGTAAATGTAAAATATCATGATTGTCATATTTATTTGACTTGTATTCTGTTTTCCTTAATTTTTCCACAACTTGCATAATTTTCATGCTATCTTGTCAAATTCGGCAGTTCCGGCCGTTATCTCGGAACGGAACAGCAAAACCAAGAAAAGCGTGTCAGGCCATGCCGTTCTGTCACATATGGGTAACTCGGCTGGAATGACCGCGATAATGGGATTGGATTTGGAACAACTGCGCTCTGACGTAGCCGCTCCGGCCGTGTTACCCGTATATGATATTACCCTTAAATTTTTGAGGATAGCCAAGTTATTTTATTGGCATTTGGAAATATGTTTTGCTTAAGACTTTGGTTTTTATTTATAAATATGAATACTTCATTAGTATTAAATTATAGTAGTGTCCGCATCACTAAAATATCGTCTGTTCCGCTCCCTCCTCCCGTTCTGTTCCTTTTTGGGGATGGCTGCACCGCGCCGCTATCTGAGATTGATAACTGTTGGAATTTCCGCCTTAATTACGGTCTGCCGCTAGTTGCCTTAATTGCGGCATTTGGCTTGACTTCATTGCAGTCTCCAACACCTTCATTGTGTTGGGTTTAAAGGGGATGGATTTAGTCCACATTGTTTAGAGATTGATCTGTGTTGTGTTTATAAGTGGGGACAATCCTCACCCTAAAAACCGGTTTTGTAGGGATGAGTTAGACCCAACCTAAATTCTGAGATGGTATTAGAGTCTATCCTAAATCCATTGTTAGGCTTCCCGCGTCGTCCACGCTTCGGGCTCATTGAGTGCAACATCATAAAACAAAAAACTATAAATTTATTTACACAATTTGGAACCCTTGGGTTTTTGCTTCAGCTGGCAAAGACTACTCTCACTATTAACAGAGGATTCTAAATTCCAACTTCACCGTTCGTCGCCACAACCACCGCCTTCGCCACCGTCGGTATTCCAAACTTTCTCTTCTGTTCCGTATTATACCTAATTTCATGTCATGAAGCTCCCTGTTTCTGTATCAAAACGGGGTAAGCATGGGAGATAGAAATCTCATGTATGGGTACTCTTCCATGAGGAAACAACTGGTAAACCAGGACGTGCCAGGGCTATATATGTAAAAGATGCAAAAGATCGTTTGCCTATATGAAAGAATATAGACAATCTGGCACCAGCCATATCAAAAGACACATTGCTTTGGGAACATGTCAAAGAAATCTGCAAGCCAATTGCTCCAATACTGGTGCTAATCTACATCTGCATAAGAAACAAGCTAGAGCGAAACCTTACTGTAATTCTATCTCATTTGATCAAGTGCATTGTAACAATAAGATTGCCAAAATGATTATTTTACATGATTATCCATTTCATATTGTAGAACACAAATGTTTCATTGATTTTGCGCGAGCACTTCAACTGCGATTGAATCCACTGAGCTTAAATACTGTCCAAGTGGATTGTGTTGCCATTTATTGCAGAGAGAAGCAAAACCTTTTGAATCTTGTTGACGTGATTCCTAGGCGAATCAACCTCACCTTGGACTTGTGGACTTCAAATCAGACATCGGGTTATGTTTTTTCTTTGTGGCCACTTCATCGATGGTGATTGGAACTTACACCATCCCATTCTTAATGTTTTTGTTGTTCCGTTTCCTGATTTGGATGGTTCCCTTAATCCAACAATAGTGACCTGCCTAAGAGGTTGGCATTAAGGGTCGCTTGTTTTCCGTTCTATTTGATAAACTATTATCCAATGAGACCTTCATAGAAATTTGGTGTGTATTGGAGAGAAAGCTGCTTCATCTCAGCAATTGCTGCAACCATGGATCCGGGGTATAAAATGAAACTCGTGGAATTTACTTTTGCCAAAATATTTGGTGAGAATGCTGAACCATGGATATGAACTGTTGAGGATAGTCTTCAGGAACTGTTCCTCGAATATAGTATATCATACAAGTGCTTCTGTTTACCAAAACAAATTTTGACATCGGGAAAGAGAATATGATGAAAACTGATGCATTTAAAGAAGTGTCACTTGATGCATTTCAAGATGTATCTCTTGATGATGCATCTATTGTTCCTGTTGAAGACAGACTTGTTGAAGATGGACTTTCTGATATTGAATTCTATATACCCGACTTCGCTACTAACCAGACATTTAAATCAGAATTGACTTAATATCTTGAAGAGCCTCTAGAGCCCGGTGTGCAAGAATTTAACGTTCTAAGCTGGCGGAGAATTAACGGATCCAAGTCCCCAACATTGTCCAGAATGGCATCTGATATTTTATCTATGCTAGTATCCACTCTCTCTGCAGATTCTATTTTCGACACAGAAATTAGAAAAATGAATAGCTACAGGAGTTCACTAGACTCTCTGACTCTTGGGGCCCTTATTTTAGTACTAAGGATTGGTTCCATTGTGAATCCAAACCCTTTGATGTTTCACATACACTTGTGAAAATGAAGTATTAGGTTTAAAGTATTATTCATATATACTTTTTAATCTTAAAATATCATGTTTATTATAATTATTATTTATTTATTTGAAAATACAAATTAAATAAAAATATCAAGCATTATGATTATTTTTAAAATAATTAATTATTTAGTTTAATTATTGATTTTTATTGTTATTGAAAAAAAAAATACATTATGCAGGGGCGGGGTTGGGAAACCCGTTCCTTGTTGGGGGTGGGGACCAATTGTTAGCCCCGCACCCGCCCCGTTGCTACGCCTAGATGCTGGAAGCCTAACAATGGATTTAGAATAGACTCTGATACCATCTCAAAATTTGGGTTGGACTTAACTCATCTCTACAAAACCAGCTTGTAAGGTGATGATAGTCCCTACTTATACACACAACACAAACCATACCTCTTAGCAATGTCGGACTAAATCCACCCCTTCAAACCCAACAGAATGAAGAATGAATGTGTTGGAGGCTGCAATTAAGGCAAGCCAAATGCTGCAGTTAAGGCGACTAAGGTATTAGCAACGTGCTTATCATTTTGGATTGTGGCTGATTAATGGTAATGATATTTACACATATTTTAATGCCAAACCTCAACAGCTTTATCTTTATTTTTATACTTAAATGATATCATGAGAAGACTAATACCTTTTACTGGGGTTGAACTGCTAATAATGACTAAGTTAACCAACGAACATGCAATGATAAATCATATTTCTCAATTGATTCCTTAATTTTATTAATACCAAAGAGTATGTTGCTTCATCATTTTACTGTAGCGTTCTTTAGTTTTTCGTTGATTGATTGGATTTGCTAGCAGAATATTACAGATAAGTTGCAGTTATGTTGTTTTGGGTATGATAAAATTGATTTGACGATTCTCTTTTGAGATTTAGGTGCTGAATCTATCCAACCAACAAACATGGATCAGCAAAATGCTGTAGATGAGTCTGTTAAACCCAGTTCAACTACATCAGACTTCGTGAACTCAGAACCATTGCGGGAAGAACAAGTTCAGAATGCTGTGAAATTTCTGTCACACCCAAAAGTTAAAGGTTCGCCCGTCATGTACCGGCGGTCATTTTTGGAGAAGAAGGGCCTTACAAAGGAGGAGATTGATGAAGCCTTTCGGCGTGTGCCTGTAAGCCAGGACGTTTTTTCTTTTCTTTTTTTTTTGTAAAATAGTTATCTTTCAGACACTTTCCTCTATGTTCATCTCTTTTTATCCTCATCTTAATTAAATATCACAGGATGCGGCTCCAACTGTGCAGACAGATGGTGGAAATCAAGGTGAAACATTAAATAATGCACTTTTCCTTTGGGTTGAGTCAAATTGCTTGAGATATCTCCATTGGATTAGTTTCAATTAAACTGGATGGATTATTGTTTCAGTTACATTTTAAACATGGCTGTTATAATATGCTAACAGATGGGCGATTGAAATCATCATCAAATGTTCAGCAACAGGCCCAACAGCAAACTTTGCAGCCAGTTTTACCTGCTTCTGCTGGTGTTAATACTTCATCCGGAACCTTAGCACGAACCAAATATCACTGGTCCCATGCCCTTATTTTAGTTGGAGTCCTGACTGCATCAGGTGCTGGAACAGTTTTGATAATTAAGGTATTACCACCAACTGTTATGTATGAATTATGATGCCATCTAAATCAGTATCTTAATGGTTGTGTGCTATTCTCAGTTTTTTATTGAAATTTTATTCACTTATTGTAATTAATATTTTGATACATGTACAATTTTGGTCACATTTTTGTATTCTTCTGAACTTCAAGAATGCTTCATGTTTTAGAATTCCCTTCTTCCTCGGTTAAAATCTTGGATACGCAAGGTCGTCTTAGACAACGATGATGAACTATCAAAGGAAACTAACAACAAACCAACCCTGGCTGAAGAAGTTGCTCAAGCTGCAAAGTCAGCAGCAGCTGCAGCTGCAGATGTGGCAAAAGCAAGCCAAGATATGCTGGCTTCAAAGGGTGAAGGTGGGTTTAACGGAACTCTAATTTGCATGATATAAAATGTCTTCGTTTTGTTTTGATACCTCTACTCTCGTGGGCCTTAATTTATTCTGAAAAGTTACTGTAATTATTGTCTTATTGCATCATCTGGTTTATTATACTTTGCAGAAAGGAAATACTTTGTGGAAGTTGTGAGTCTTTTAGATAAGCAAATACAAGAAATGAAGTTAATGACAAATGCAATAAGAAGATTGGAAGGTAATTGGGTGTTGCCATTTAATATATTGGCCTGACATGAGAGGCAACTATTGCTTTGAATATTCTGTTGTGGTTTTCATTTATGACTTGCCAATAGAGTTTGTCTCTTTGTTAGGAAAACCTGTGGTTGTGTAATTGGGGAACAGGTTCTTTATAACCCCTTAAGAGTGCAACGAGGTGGTTCATTGGTGACCAAGAGCACAAATTTTATCTGTATTTTTAAAATTGTAAATGGACTTCTGGCTTCATGACTGTATCAGGAAACCCGTTTATTCCCTTAAATTTGATTTCATACAACTGTTTAGGCTTCCCGATAAATTTTGGCGGCAAAATATCCGAAATTATTGTGTACTTATGCTGGAGAGTTTTGCCAGTTACTTAGAATTTTGAAGTTCTTGTTGAATATCTGTTTCTGCCAAATTATGGAATAAAAGGTCCCTTATGATATCTGTCTCAGGGCAAGAAGATCTCCGAGTCAGTCAAACAAGTTCCAAGGTCAGATGTAAATAGAACTCAAAGGGACATTCTCATCATCTTTTACGATTTCTTTTCCGCACACCTTTCCTGATCCTGGTTTGAGTTGTCTTATGTTTTAACTTTTGACGGCCATATTTTATTTTGAATACATGCAGCGACTGGTTGCGAATGGCAAGGCGGACTTTGACTTACGTTCAGGTTGTAATATTTATTATTAGATCTTAACTAAATTAGTCTTATTCTCTGAATTATGTTACTTATAATTAGAATGTTGTATGCAGGGAGATCATTATCCCCGCCCGCATCTGTTGAACTATCAGGTCCTCCTCATCCAAAATCATATATGGAGGTAGTATTTTATACTGCTTTTATAGTTTTTTTCCCCACCTCCTTGCCTTGCCTTTTACTTCTGGCTCATATCTAGATGCTTGCCATTTCAGCAATGTCTTCATATCTTGTAGATCACATCTATTAAAATCAAAATATTACATTTAGGCATTAATTACATTGGGACACTTGATATTTCTAACTACATATTTAAGTCTATTGTGCTGTAATAGTGTGTATGTTGTCACTGGTTATCCCAATCTTGAGTCTTTGTTGCATAATTGATGTCCAATTTACTTTATTTGCTTCACCTGTTAGCTGATTCAAGTATTTAAGAGTATTTGCTTCCGATGACATTCTCCATTTTGTCTATTTTAATTAAGAAATAGATTCACTGATTTGATCCTTAATGAGAATCCTCCCTTCAATTCATGTTATTGAACCTTTTTTGTCTGATTTTATTTTATTTATTTTTGTTTTCTAGGATATTTCATTTTTCTTCTGAGTTGTACATTACCTTTTCTATCTCTAATTTAGTTTCTTAAAACAATTAACAAAATGCTTTTCTAGGACGTCATATTTATGAACATGATTAAGATTAGCTATTCTTGTTTCAATTGCAATCGAACTATCTAAGGGTCTGCATCTCCCTGTAACAAGAGTTTTGAATGAAACCTCAAATTTAGTATTTCCTTTGGTGTTATCTATTCGTATATCATATATAAATATTATTTGTGATATAGATTGAACATTGATTCCGGTGGGAATATATAAATTTTGTTGAATAATTGAATCCATTCTCCCGCATGGTCTGAATTAGAGAAGACATTTTTTTTGCTTTGCTCATCAAGCAGCAAATTGATATGTCTCTGACTTAAGTTTTTTCTACGAGGGAGAAAGATGGGCTGCATTCAAACGGGACGAATGAAAAGAGTGGTTGCATGTGTTTTAAAGGAGGGATAAAGTTGGAATTAAAGATTGTAGAGGGGCTGTCACTACCCTTACTGCAGAAAAAAAACAAAGTGAAGTTTTTAATGGTCAGGATAGCTTGTATTATTAGATTAAATGGGAATGTGATAGGTCTGATATGGTTTGTTAAGAAGTTGGTACTCGTTAGTTAAGTAGATTGTAGATTTGTTGAGAGGTAGTTAGGACAAATAAGGCATGCTTCCTATAAATAGATAGGAGGATTCGAAAGGTGATGGTGATGGATCTTATCATTTGAGAGGAATAGGGCCTTAAGGCATTGGGAGGTAGGCAGACCCTTGAAGTGCTGCTATTGTTTGTAACCCAAGGGGATTCTTCCCCATTTTCAGTAATAATATACCAGTTGGTTCTCTCATAATGGTTTCGGTATCACCCCTAGAAAGTGGACTAAATAAAAAGGGGAAGAGGAGTTAGGCAGTAATTGAATTTTAGAGGTTTGAATGGCAGGGGGATTTCCTATGCATCACAAGTCACATATCCCCTTTTTTTCTCTTCTGCATTTTCCTTAGAATTCTGCAATAGTGTTTATTCATCTTCTGTAAGGCTTATATTTATTGACTTCTACAATTATTTTCGCAGATAATGGCCATGGTCCAAAGAGGGGAGAAGCCTTCTAACATCAGAGTAAACCTCTTAATCTCGATAAACTTAATTGATGTTAAAACCATAAACCTCATTTGTGCACCATTAATATAAAATTATAAGAAAATTATTTGAAAAAGGTAATTAAAGTTTTATATGCGAGGAAAGGTGTCACTGAAGTTAAAGGTTATGGTTTGCAAATAAATTGTGCTTCTCTATTTAGTTTGCCAATTTTATGTGATACTTATATAAAACATTGGGTTTTAATGCAGGAGATCAATGATTTACCCCCCAACCCAAGTCAACAGCAGTCAGATCCTCGCATATTGCCTAGATCTAAGGTTTATAACAAAGTGCTTTACCTTTCCTAAGTAGTTTAGGTTTATGAAGTTTTTATTTAACCAAGTTAAATCCGTCTTTTTTGAAACTTTATTTTGGTTCATTTTTGAGGATTTTCTATCAATATGACCATCATTGTGAAAATATAATTATGCAAGTTAAGTTCTTGCTTCTAACAAGTATTGGCACACACATCTATCGAAACATTAAATTTGTGCGTAAGTTTTCTTTTTTCAATGCCTTAGTGGTATTATTTCACATGAATCTGATTGTGTGCTTCAACTTCTCCTGGGCAGCCTTGGGAGATTGGTCAGGTTCAAAACGTGTCTAGCCAAGTGTTTCAGCCTCAAGCATATGGTGAGGAATTGTATACCAAAGTCCAAGATACTACTCAATCAAATGGGGATGACCCATCCCCCTGGTGGCAGAAGAAAAATGTCAGAATCAGGGAGATTGATGAAAGTGCGTCTAATGGAGCACCTTATGGCACCACGCCCAGTCAGCAGCCCCTACAACGTGTGTGGGTTCCTCCTCAACCTCCACCCATAGCTATGGCAGAAGCTGCAGAAGCAATCAGACGCCCCAAACAAGCAGTTCAAAAAGAACAGGTGTCAGATAATCAGTCAGTAGCTCAATCTTCAGATACCTCTAACTCTAATGGGGTGCATGAGATCCCAAAACCATTGGAAACTGATGTTGCTGTAGAGGTAAGCAATGTTAGCTCTGGTGAGATACAAGTCGTACAAGAGGACCACGAAACCAAATAAGAAGAGCAATGAAGGTGAATCCATATCATAAAAAACATGAAGTTAGAAAATACAGCTTGAAGTGGTCCTAGATTCTGGATAAATTGGATATAATCTTTGTTTCATAAACTGGACATCATTACAAGATGCAAATGCTGGTGTCTTTTTCATGAAAGAATGGTACTAAAGTTTGCACTATTATAGGGGTTTTATGATACATGTTACATTCTTAGGGTTATTAGTATAAGCAGCTGCAAAATACCCGTATGGAATGCGATTAGATTATCACATATTCTTACATTAAACGTAGTATATTTAAAAAATCCTGAATAACTGATAAAAATCAGGTGCTAAGTTCAGGAGTTTCTGTGATTGAAATGCCAACTTAGAACAAAACATCCAATATCTACCATCAAGCATTAGCGACAAAGGACACTTCTTCACTAGAATACATCAAGTATAAAAATGAATTAAAAGCTCCTAAACCAAAAAACATTAAGGGAAACGAAACAGAGCCCAGCAGCTATTCCATTTTGTTTCATGATTGTCTCGTTTACTTTAGAAACACCTAATGTTATTTCATTTATTAGTAAGCCTTGTTAAATTATAAAATAAAATAAGTATTGATATTTTAAATCTAATTTTACCTTTTATTTACAATTAAACCAATTATTTCTAAATGTTTCAGAATTAACATTTATCTTCATTAGTAATGTATATGGTCATATTCAAAAACATTATTTTTATATGATCACAATTATAAATATAAATCATTGAGACAAACAAAAATATGAATAATTAATTATTTTAATAATAATAAGGTTTTTTTTAACTCTTTCTATCTTTTTCATTTATCTGTAAATAAATTAAGGGATTAGTGGTGTACTTTTACCCTATGTTTTTTTAAGAGTTCATCATTATATTTTATATATTTTTCACAAACTCTGAAATTGTGAAATTATTCCTGTCCGAAAATTTCCAAAAGGTAACTTTCTGACATATTTTATACATTTTTGTTCAGTTAACTTCATGTAGAAAAAGTTCAAAAAAGTGTAATCAGATAATAAACATTCAAGACACATCTACTTTCAGAAATTAACTTTATCATATATAAGATAGTTCTTATATGTCTCTTCATCTATTTGTATTTTTTTCTCTACATTTGACAAATTCAATTTGTTCTCGTTTAACTGAAATTACTGAACGCTCTAATTTGGAGAAAGGATAATGAAAAAATGGGTAGAGTTTTGCTGACTTTAGGAAGAGAAAGTCAAATTGATTTTTTCAATATCAGTCTGTCTAATCTTAATTATTACTGAAGTTTATTATAAATTTTTTATAAAAATTATATCAAAAAATATATGTGTTTTATAATATTAATAAATAATCAATATTATTTTTTTTTATCATACCTTTAAATATTAAATTACTCTTTTTTATCAATTATGTAAAATTTTCTTTCTGATATTATTAATGTACACATTTGTAAAAAATTTCATAATTTTTCCTTTTCAAACCATCATTATTTTTTAATAAATTTAATGGTTACACCGTCATCCAATATATTATTCTGCATGTTATATAATTAGTTTAAAATTTTTAATCTAATAAAATGTTTATGCATCACCTCTTTTTCCTTCTTAATAGGTACAAAATATTTAAAATAATTTATAATATAAAGGGAGATAATATTATTTTTTAATTATCTATTTTATAAAATATACGAAAATATATTAAAATACCGTGATTTTTTCTCTCTTAAATCACGCAATTTATTATCTAAAAAACTATAAGTTCTTAATTCAACATTGTCGGTAAAAGAAAAAGTACCAATTTTAATAGATCTCTTACTTAAGTGAATAGCTTGTCCTTCACATTTTTTTTCTTTTCAATTTCAACTATTTAACGATAGTTTTAAACCAACGTTAAATGTTAGGTTATCTTTTCTTTCAATTTTTAAATATTTAGTAATGATTTTTAATTGACACGAAATTTCATTTTTTTTATTTTCAACTTTTTATTAACGGTTTTAAACCGTTACAGAATAATTACTAAAAATTTATGGCTATTTAAAACCATAGTTAAATGATTAAAATTCAAAAAGCAATATGAACACCGGGCTGTTTTCGCTTCCCCTTTAATCCTTGAACTTCAGGACTCGCTGCTTACCTGAGAGAGCTGTTAAAGTCTCTCAATATAGACAACACCAAAGGTAAACTTATGATTTCGATTAGAGTCATTGAATAGAAATTCAATTCCAGGAAAATGAGCATTTGGTGTAAAATTTGGATATAGTTTTTTTTCTTTCTTGGATCCAAATCATACACATTCCTTCAGTTTATAATGCTGGATCTTTCTATTTTTAACTATTAGAACATATTTAATTATTTTCTTTTATTTCAATATTCCTACTTGAAATTGAAAGAAAAAGGAAAATTGTTATAGGAGTTAATTTTTGGAAAGGGTGCGTCAGTATTTATTTTTAAGGTTAACTGAACATGACTATACATCCAATATATATATATATATATATATATATATATATATATATATATATATATATATATATATATATATATATATATATATATATATATATATATATATATATATATATATATATATATATATATATATATATATATATATATATGCACATCCAATTATGCACATCCAATTAATGACAGTCCTCTTTAAGGTGAACCGAACATGACAGTCATCTTTATGATTTTCTCTCTTTTTCATATTCATGATTGCCTGTAGCAAAAGTGAAAGAAAAGTACTTTGTATTTTTATATTTTAATAATCAATTATTTTTGCATTCTAATAATTTATTATTTTAAGGATATTACTTGGGCTTAATTAATTTGTCTAGAAGGTTGTTTCATTAAAAAATAAAATAAATTTCTGCATGTTGTGTTTTAAGAAAAGCAATAAGAGTTTTTTTTAATAAATTTTTTGCTTATTAAGGATATTATTAAGTTGTTTTAAAAAGAATTAAAAAAGTATTATGTTGTATTTCAAGGACATGTACTAACAATCATTTTTGCAAAACAAATTGATCATTACAATGAAAAAAATCATACACGCAAAATGTTTGACAAATATCATTAATACAAAGAAAGAAAATATAAAAAATAAGAAATATTTTCATAAAAACATTAATTAAAAAGAAAGAAATTTTTTTTATAATATTAAAACATATTTTATTAATTTTCGATTGGGTGTTCAGTTTTTATTAAAAAAACTAATTCACATTCAAAGTCTTAGTGTAATAATCCGTATTTATAAAAAAAATTAAAATGTGTTAAAATTAACTTTTAAAAATTTAATTATAATTTTGATTCTTTTATTTTTAATTTTTTCACTTTTAATTTCCATTTTTAAAATCTCAAATTTTTAGCATCCTATTTTTATTTTGTTAAACTTTTAAATCCCTTATTTTAAAATTTAAAATTTTAATCTTTTTATTTTTATTTTTTAAACTTTTGACTCTCTTTTCTAATTGCGAAAGAGACTAAAATTCAAGAGAAATTTAAAATAAGGAATTAAAAGTAAGAAGGTTAAAAATAAATGGACCAAAATTTTAAATTTTAAAATAAAATAATTAAAAATATAAAAAATTGAAAATAAAAATCTAAAATTCTGAATTTTAAAATATAGAGATCAAAATTATAAAAAAAATAAAATAAAGAATCAAAATTACAATTAAATATTTTTTAAATAAAAACGGAATAACCACTTAAAAATTAAAAAGGTGTATTTTAACATAATAAACCTTTTTAAATAACAAATAACCTTTTATATTTTCTTTACTCCATATTTTTGTAAAACATTTGCGTGCATGATTTTTTCTGATAAATTTGTTTTACAAAAATATTGTTAGTACACTTTGTTAAAATACACTATAATTTTTTTTATTCTTTTAAAACAACTTAATAATATCCTTAACAAACAAAAGTTAACCAAAAAAAAGAGAGACTATTATTGCTTTTTTCTTAATACACAACACACATTTTTTTTAATGAAACAACGTCTATAGACAAATTAATTAAAACCAAGTAATATTCTTTAAATAAATCAATTATTAGAATGCAAAAATAATTGATTATTAAAATATAAAAAATATAAAGTATTTTTATTTTTATTTTTGCTACCGCAGTTATTTAAATGAAAAAGAGAGTGAAAATCGTAAAGATGAAATTACATTAGAATATAATGTAAATTCTAAGAAAAATGCAATGAGTTAGGATAGCTAGAGGGAAGTATTAGGAAGAGCCTAAAGTCTCACATTGATTGGAGATAGTGCATTAAAATAGTTTATATAGAGTGACACTCCTCATCTTATCAATCGGTTTTGTAAGGTTGTATTAGACCAAACTCTAATAAAAAGAAATTGGTGATGAATATCGGTCATCACTATTTTTATATTTAAAAGTAATTTAAATTAAATATTAATATTTATCATTTAAATTTTCATATAATTTATTGTTTTATGAAAAAAACACAACACACATTTGTACCAAATTAATTGGCGCCACCCTTAAATATAAATTGGATTCACAACATCACATATAATTGTCAATTAAATTGATGTCATTTCTATCATATTAAATGAAGTCAATTCGTCTATCATTAGCTCCGCGTGCAAATAGGTTTAGTTTAAAAAATATATTTAAAAGTGAATTATTTAGGTGAAAAATTTAAATTATACGCAATGAAAAAATATTAAAATTCGTTAAAATGACATAAGGTAAAAGTATGATTAATCCTAAATTAAATAGGTGGGTAGCCATGCTATTCAAGAAGCTATGATAGTGATGCAGTGTCACAATCACAAATAAAAGAGCAAGAAAGTAATGAAAGTATAATAAATAGAATGAAGAATTTTTCGAATTTTTCACCCATATACTCTAAAAAACACCTCCTAAATCCCAAACTACCTATCATTTCCCCATATATCCCAATTTACTCATATTTGTGTTTTTTTTATATTTTATACAAGGGGGCGCCATGGGGGT